GTCCAAAGAGATGCCCTCAACTCCAGGAGCTTATGACACTCATGACCTCTAGAAACCTGCTCTCCACCTGGAAGGATTGGGCTCTCAATAAATTATACACTGGTAATAATTATCTTGAACCTATGTACCTTCCCACAAATACAGCTTAATCCATAGCAAGAACAGAGAACACAATGAAATTTTTCTGTGTCATCTGAGGAGCAAAACCTCTAAAAGGCAACGTGCACAAATTTAAGCCTTTGTGCTCCAAAACTACTCAAATATCAAAGGATCACGATGGGATGTAATTAACTTGCAGCATTTGAGAAAGCTCAGATGGGATTAAGGTGCAAATGTGAATTTCATCTCATCCTGTGTAACAGTTTCACTTGATGCCCAGTTTCAAAGCACTCAAATTATAAAATGCAAATACTTTCCAGGGTGTATGGAAATTATGATAGAGGAGATATCAATTTGAAAATTAATTCATAAAAACACGTTCTCACTCCTGAATAAAAAAAAAAGTAAATCCAAACATATGAACTGATCAAGATGCCTCAGCAGAGGGACTGTACAGGAGAAATCATTTTCCAGAAGAGTGAGAATGAACCCTTCTGAAGAGCCTGGAACATAATCTCTTTGCTTGGCTCATCTGCAGGGCATAAACCCAACCACCACCACCTGCCGGTTGAGCTGAAGGAAAATAAGCCTGAAGGCCAGCAGCACCAGCTTGCCAAATGCCAGTGATGCTTCTGTCTGAGGATGCTCTTTCCTTCGCAGGAGGCACAAAGGAGGATGCTCAATCTGTGCTGTCAGTAGTTTGTCTCACCCCGGTACCTGCAGACCATGGTCAAAGGTACCAGCTCTAACATCTGACCCCCGCCGTGCAGAGCAGTAAGCAGCCAGCCCCTGCAGCAGGATGAATTTTTAGGCTTTTGGATTTTTGTCACTGAGGATACTTGAAACGAACGCAGTGATTTCAGCACAACAAGGGAAACTTCCTGATTTTTCCAAGAGCATTTTGCTTTCTTGTCCAATGCTGGTGCCTTCAGTGAAATTAATCCCTCAGACTGCAATGAAACAACACTCTTGGGATGATTTCACCAGAAGTGAAGTGCTATTTCCTTCAGTCACTTCCAGAAACCAGAGGGCAAGAGAGGACACACAGTCTGAATGGCTTTTCATTACAACAATACTTTGGCAATTAGGTCAACACATCCTCTCACTAAAATATATGCTGTGATTTAAATCAGCACACTGCTCCCGCTACAAAATACATTGGCTTACAATTACAATATATATTAGATAAACAAATGGTTGGCTTATCAACAGCTATACAGGGGAAACAGCTGATTTATTTATTACCCATTTTATTCAACTTCTTTTACCCACCAAAATAAAGGGGTTCATTCATGCCAAACTTTTTACAGAAAATGGTTGGCTTCTGGGTTTGAGGGATTATCTTTCCCAATTCAGAAGCACTGTAAATGAGATGAGAGATGTCTAAACTCAGACATCTCTTCTCCACAATTATCCCCCACCTGCCCCCCACAGACACCCACTGGGGGCTCATCAGGCAGCTCCCATGGGGCAGCCCAGCTGCTCTCCCCCTCGTCCCTACCCTCTTTATGAGAGCCACGATGAGTCCTCACAGACCAGAGTGGAGATACAACATGACAAAGTGAGCGTGCAGCCTAGGGCCTAGAGACAAGACAGCTTTGATCACGAGGCATCGCAGCCTCCCCCCGATTCCTGCCCCAGGATCTGCCACCCCCCCCCAGCTGCCAGCAGGGTCAAGGCTCGGCTCCAGAAATGCCACCCAACACAATTGTTCCAGTTGTGCTGTGTAATTGCACAGGGGCCTTGTGAGACTTCCTTTCCTGCACGCTCAGACCACTTTTCTGAAGCCAAGTGAAAGCAAGTCTTGTCTTCCCAGAAATACAGAGGCCACAGGCCCAAGTCTTTTGTTGGTTCAAGCCGCCTGGAAACCCCTCCAACTGCAGCCCCCCCTTCTCCTTCCTCTCTCTACCTGCCAACTGCTCCTGCCTTGGAGCACGGGCTTGAAGCAGGAAAACAACTGCACATTGAAAAGATGCTGCCAAGTCCCAGCAACGCTAAGGACAACATAATCACAGAATCTTCTAGGTTGGAAGGGTTGAAAGGTTGGAATGCTTAACCCCAGGTGAAGAAAGCCCCCTCTGCCTGTCCCAGCCCCTTGTCCATGCCCCATCCCAAACCTCCCCTGCAGGAGAGGCTGCACAGACTCCCTGCAATCTGTCTCCTTCCTACCCACGTACCCACCTAAACCACCGGTCCCCGCTCAGGGCACAGCAAAACAGACTGTCATCACAATGAGGGGTAAAAGGCAACACTGACAAAGTTCACACCGCAGTTTTTCCACTGATTCCTCCTCAACCAACAGCTAATTTGGTTCCGTTCCCTTCCTGTCTCATCCGCTTCCCTTCAGCCCCAGGCCAAGTGTTCAAAGCCAAAGAGAGGGGCCTTTGGGATCCCTCTGAAAACACACACACCCCACATCTCGTGCTCCCAGGCCATCCAGGCTCCGAGCCAGGGAGATGCTGAGCGATTGCAGCTCACCAAGAGACTGCTCAGGATGCTCTGCACCGACACGCACGCTTGAAAGGGATTTGGATGTGATCTCAGGGACAGAAACAGCTTGAACCTGGCATTCCTTTACTTTCTGCAGAACTCGTTGAAAAGCTATTAGCCGAAACAAAGCGATCAAGTTCAGCAAATCCAAACAAGCAGCAACTCCTTTTTCAAATTTCCACTTGGTTAAGCCAATAAAGAGGGCAACATCAAGCCAGAGCACACCAGTGAGTGATGGTTCCTCCCTCAGTGATCACAGTCCTCTGTGCCCAAACCAGAGAAAGCCACAAAGAAGGGGACGTGATGGTTCTCTGAGGTCACAAAAAGCAGGCGGGCAAAGCTTGTGCCGGGCTGGAAGGGATGCCAGACACCAGGACAAAGCTGTAGCAGAACAGATTGCCCCAATTCTACATTGTTTTTCTGCAGCTGTCTCATGCTCTGAGGGCTGTTAAAAGCATTGTCATGCCCTCCTGAAAATTTCAGAGGTGCCAAAAATCAGAAGTCAGCCCAGACACAGGCAGGTATTTAAAAGGCTGCCTTGGCAAACAGCACGAGAGCTCAGGTGCAGGACACCACTGCTCTCCCTGCCTGTTGCACAGCCATAGGACACCCACACCTCTGGATTTTATAAAGATAGGATTTCACATCTGTCTGAAAATACAGGAAACTGAGGCTCCCCAAGAGCTCAGATATCAGCCAGGGTCCTCAGCATCTCTCGACACAGTTTCTGCAGCTCCTCTGGGCAAACCCAGACTCAGCAGAGCAGCCACAAAAGGGCTTTTGGGTTCTTCATGGCATTATGGAAAAATCTATGTGTGCCACCAGATTAATCTGTAAACCTATAAATCGGAGTGTGGCAGGATTCCCAGAAGGCCAGGCCATTGCCTCACAGTGACACAGCTCACGTGCAAAGGTGACAATTACACTCTGCTTCCCTAATCCAAGAACAGACCCACTGTCTAGCACAGTCTGTGCTGGGTGTCTGCTGCCTCTGCGGGGAAACCTGGAGCTCCAGCACCCTGCAAGCTGCTTTTTCTTCTTCCAGAGGATCGTGTGGCTCAGTCCTCCACCGCATTTTCCCAAATTTTTAGCACTTCTGTTCTAGCACAGCTCCACAGATAACATCTACCCTGGAAACACTGAATGTCTGTATGAATCAAAGAGCACAGAGGCAAATCCCCGCTCCTCCCCAGCACAGCACCACATCAGGTTCTGCTCCCACACTCCTATATTAGTGTAATTCAATCATGTGTGTATATCACAATATAAGGTTGCCACATAGATCAAAAGCACATCTTTGCATCTGCCAAATGGACTCTGGTCCTGTTCTTCCATCAGAGGAATTTGTATAAACATCAAATATATTGGAAAATCTTCCCGCATGCAGCAAAACCACTAATATTCTCCCTAATAACATGAGTTAGCCCATATAATGATTTGCTTTTTAAGCAAATTGCAACACTTATTATGAAAAAAAATAACAAAGTTATGTTATGTTTCTTGGAGCCTTTGGTAAGGGGAATGAAAGCATGAAGAATCAGATTTTTATGCTTTTCTATTCCAAAGCGTCTCATCTGTTTTCCTCACAAAATAGCATAAAGGCCTGCAGCACATCCAACTCCAGCAAAATATCCTTGACTCCCTCCAAATCATGGCACTTCTCTCTCCAACCTGACACAACAGCTACTGTTATGCCACAGCAGACACTCTCCCACCCCTGGGAGCTGTACTGCACCCAGAGCCATGGCTGCTGGGCTACAGGCAGCACCCAGCGCCCTTTGGGAAGGGACACCCTTTCCAAATCAAGCTTCCTAAGTTCATCCTTTATGGCTTTAACCTCTAATTCCTTTATTTTTTCCCTCATCCTCCATATTTCTTTCTCACCCTCACCTTCTCTGCCGCTGCAGAGTCCCCCTTGGCACAGCTGGTATTTTTAATTGTGCTCGTAGGAAGGATGGAGCCAACGGTTTCATGTTATATCGTGTATTACCTGCCTGATGGAAACGTGCAGTTAAGGGAACAGAACGAGCAGGAACAGATAGTGGAGACCTCTGCACAGACCTGTTTTGGTTGCAACCCCAGAGGTATTGCAATGGCTTTATACAGAACACAGGCTGCTCTGTAGCACTGGAAGAACTCACTGCTCCCCTCCTCCCTTCCGCTGGTGGAAGAAGGGAGGATATAGCATCAGGGTTACCCACATGCCCAATTCAAGGGAATTCATTTATCCTGACTCCTGAATAATTCATGTCTTCAGAAAAAAATAATATCTCTGTTCCTTCATAGAGACATCATCATCTAGCAGTGAAAGAAAGAGATGGCACAACGGCAGGCTGCAGGGAGAAATGCACCTCAGGAGCGCAGGCAGCAGTGACAGGGAGGACGAGACAGGTGAGAACAGAGCTCCTTACCTGAGCTGTCAGGGTGGTGGGCTGTGGAAGCTGCTGACATGCAGGATCGACACTGCTTCCACACGGATTTCATGTGCTGGAGAAGCCTGCCTGCTTTAATCCAAGGCATTATGGAGTGGCTGCATTTGTGCTGTACAAACACCCTCTATGAGCCTTTCAGGAGCAGTTACATCCTCCAACATACATGGCTTTAATTGGGATTTTTTTTTTTTTTTATTTTAATTCCAGTCACATGTTTTGAGCTGTTACTTTTCTCCTCCATGTGTATATAGATAGATTTTTACATCTCCTGTCTGTGTGCCACGTTAGCCTCAGGCAACCAGCTCCGGGAGAGAGCCGTCAGCCTTGACAAATGACTCAGTTCTGTCTGGAGTCAGGTCTGAGCAGCATCTCCTTCCTTCCCTTCCTAAGGCTGCTGTTTGCACAGACACCTCTGGGCAGGTGAGCTCTGCACATGGACTTGGAGCCTCACTGAGCACAGCCAGAGCCTCATCCTGCTTCAGCAAACCTGAAATTGAAGGACTCTGGGTGAGGGTCAAAGCAGAGAGGTTTATACCTCAGCAGAATGTCTTTTTTTTTCATTGGGGTGAGCCAAAGGTGGGTCACACAAGTTTTCTCTGCTCACTCCTCATCACTGTGTTACTGCATGTTTAGCTTTAAAACAGGGAGAGGGAGACTCCTGGGGTGAGGAGAGATCAGAGAGCACGTAACAGAGGATGCCTGCTCACTGATGAGCCCAGATGCTCGTGGGCCACGCCGCAGGACAGAGCCACAGCACACAGCTCCTTCCTGCCAACACACAGCACGACAGGACACCTCTGCTGGAGGCCACTGTCAGACACCCACGCAGCTTTCACAGGCTCTTCTGCTCTTGCTGATCTCTCACACACCTCTCTGCAAAATGCTCCCCAACGGCATGACTGATGACAACTTTCTGCCAAAGCCACTGATGCCAAAGAATGGCTTTATTGAAGGAAATGTACACTTTGCAGAGTTTTCACTTTCTTCCCAAACAGTGGAGGAAGAAGTGGGTATTTTCAACCATTTCATTATTAACTCCTTAGATACCCGAACACATTGTCAAAGCTCTCTCTCAAATACACTCTCCTCCCAGAGCCTGTGGTATTTGCTGACACACTTCTGCTGTTTGCACTCCCAGTGGTGCACATGGAGGGATGGACACAGACAACACGGTGGCCTCCCTTTCTCCAGAGCTTTTACCCAGGAAAGCACCAAACTACACACTTCAGGCAACCAACTGGCTCGTGCTTGATGTTTCCTGGATTAAAGCCCTGATGGAAGCAATTGATACAAGAGCTGGCCAAGGGCTGCAGCCTTAAAATTCTGGGCACATCACAGTGAACTCATGTGTTTTATTATTTATACCAGCCCAGAAGCACAAACTCTCAGCTGAACTCAGAGGCCAGGAAAGGCCAAGGCACACGTGGAGTCTCATAGTTCCAGAACATTCATCTGCATTTATGTGTAGAAGTCCCTGTTCGCTCGCCATGAGATGTTGGCCCGTATGTTTCCCAAGGAAGCTACTCCTCCCTGAAATCAGAAGGGCTTATTTGTCAGAAAGAAAAGAGAAACACACGCTGCTTATGGTGCTAGATATTTCCACTTGTTTAGTCACTGGTGGTTTGTATTCCTGCCTTCATGTTGCAGCAAGCTCAGCCAGTAAACAAGTCAGATCCGATGGCCTCCGTGGTTTGCAGCAAGATACAATCCCCAATGCCATTTTCTCAATACTAATCTCTGAAGACAGTTGCTAAAAGAGGGGCTGTTTTCTGATGCACTGTCAGCAGTGGTAACTTTAGAGGAGCACAGCTGGAGTATAGTAATGACAGGACCCCCCCCAAAGCGCTGCCATCCACTGCCCATCCCCAAAGCTCCCTGCCCGACTGCAAGAACAGAGGTGTGTGATTTCCTCTCCATCTTTCACCATACCCCAAAGACAACCCCCCCTCAAGGCAGGGCACCCAGGAACTCCACTCAGTTCATGTGTGATTGAACTTGCAGGCAGTTTTCTGTCAGGAAACATTTTTCTGCATCCCTCTCTCCTTTATTAAAGTAACTGCTCTTCTCAAAGCCCGAAAGACAGATAACTGTGTACAGTCACAAGTGCCTGAGCACTCTAACAACTCGGGACTGCTCTGCTTTCTTCAAGCCAATACCTGGAGTTGGGCTTTTCCTGGTGACCAGACCCCGTGGCCACCCAGGCAGCTCCTTTTCCTCTCAGGGTTCCCACCACATTTGCCAGGCACACCTTGCAAATGGGCAGAGCCTGCTCTTTAATTCACCAGCCTGTAACTTCCTTCTAAACAACCTTTTGCTCCCTCCCCTATTAAGCAGAACAGCAGAACCATTGTAATCTCCTGCAATGCAAGTGCTGCAGCCGCCCTGCACGGTTCAGTAAAAGACAAGTCAAGGTCTCCAATTCACAATTAATCTCACTGTGACGTGGGTAAAGAAGTGCTGAAGGGAAAGGAGTGAGAGTCAGGACATTCAGCTCCCAGTTTTGCCGCATATATTCTCCTTCACCCTGAAACTATACAATTTCTCACCCTTGAAAACGGGAACAATATTTCCCAGAAAGGCTGCAATGAAATACTGATGTTTACCAAGCACTCTGGAACGGATATAACCCTTCCAGGATCCGCTCAGTCTGGCACAGCGGTGTGGGACACTAGGCAGCACCATAATACAAACCACGAATAGCAGTAATTAACAAATAGCCCCGGAGAGATGAATATTAATCAGCACTTTCCAGCTATCCTCAGGCATGAATGGATACTCCACAGATGGAGCACACAGAGAACAACCTTAACTCTGCCGTGTGGATCACAGGAGAAACCTGCCCTGCAGCCAGTTTGCACTCAAGTTGCTCCAAGCCAGAGCACAGGAAATCGTAGCAATTTACACCAAAAGTGCCCTAGGAGATACAGCACACAGGGACTTGGCTGGTGGTATGGGGCGAACGCTCAGGAACCACAGCTGCTGGGATACCCACCAAAGAGCAAATACAGCCTGGTGGGCTGCAAAATCACTGCAGCGTCAAGGAAGTGATGGAAACACATAACCCACCAAAGCCATTTGGTACAGCAAACCATCCGTTCTGCCTCTAAATATCCACAGCTTTTAAAAAATTAAGACATGGAGAAACTCCACTGCATACCCATGGACCACTTGCCTGTCCCAGCAGCATGCTGGAGCTTCCCCCTGGGAGCTCAACACAACTATGAATTATTTGTGTTGCCACAAAACTTGCAAGCCCCATGGCAAATCTGGTCTCGCTCTGCAGAGCCTGATTCAATCCCATAGCAGAAGTCATCTCCAGGTCCTAGATGGGGCAGGCAAGCACAAGAGAGGCTGTAAATCAAATAACTTGCCCCGGGTCTCATCATGGATCAGCAGCTGGATTTGTGTCCACAGCAAGCTCTGCAGCGTGCCCAGGAAAGGGGCTCAGAGGGGCACGTGAGCCCCCTTTGCTGTGGCATGAGCCATCCCTGACTGCTCCCTGGCTGCCAGAGCGTGGGAGGGAAAGGGAGCTGGATCCCCAGGGCAGGGAAGGAGCCCTGCTGAGCAGTGTGTGTTCAGAGCTGTGTCCCAGGAGCATCACACAGCCGTCATTTTCCGCAGCTCAGAGAGCAAACTGCATATATCAACTGACGGCACTAAGTTTTATCCATACATTTTTTAAAAGCAGCTTCCAAGACAAAACATCTGCTCTCAGGTGGAGCCAGGGCTCAACATGAAATGGCTTCTACACCGAGTTATGTTACGAGCGTAACAGAGGCGTTTACCCCATTTTAAATTCATTTCCTTAATCTTTTTCCTGCAGCATCTGGAAGAAAGATGCATTAGCCCAAAATTCTCAGAGAGAGCCTCTCTGGCTGCTCCAGAGGTTGGAAGTGCAAAGGGTAACAGAAGAGCGTGTGGGGAGACCAGACAATCCAATATTCTTCATTCAAAATTCCTTCAGGTTTAGCACTGACTCATAGCAGAAGATGAAGCTTCTTTAGATATATCATTTCTAATCTCAGAGTCAGAAAGGGCTGTGGTCCCAGTGCCTGTCATCCTTGGGCAGAAGCCTTTTGCTGAAAGAAAACTGGGAATAGCAGAAGACAAGCTATTTATTTCTACCCTGAAGACAGTGATCAGACAGTAGCACTGCCTTCAAGTTACTCATTCAGTGTTCCTGGTGCTGCTCCAACGTCTAGGGTCTTGCAGAGGAGTCTTTTTATTGCTTCCACTGAAATAAGGAAGAGCAATCAGATATTAATGAGATGCTTCAGTACGTGCTTGCTCTCCCTTTCCCAGGCTTCCAGGGCCAGGGATCAGTCAGGCAGTTGCAGGATCAGGCCATTACACTGGTTTAAGGGTTGGCTGCCCAGTCCGAGGGGGAGAACTGAGCCCAGATCCAAAAAAAGCCTGTATTTGCTCCACTCCTGGTGGGAGCAGAGGCCACAGCTACTGCCCTTTACCAGCCCTGTCATTTTACCCCAGAGAAGTCAGTTAAATACAGGGTTGTGCTGCAAATTGTTCATTTAATATTGCCCTTCAAACTGCATTGTAATGATAAATTTTCACTTCCTTCCCATGGCAGTTGCATAACGTTACTGGGCATTGTTTAGAGAGCTGCTGTGCTCCAAGCCACAGGCAGCTGGTGTCCCTGTCCCCTTCCCCTCCCCAAACGCTGGCAGGACCATTACCTTTCTGACTGTGGGGGTTTTTAACACTCCATCAGCTTACTACATTAAACAGATAGTTGTGGCTCTGAAGGCAAGTAACCTTCCAACAAGATTATTCCTACTTCCTTCAGCTTTCATCGGGGGGAAAAAAATACCCCATTTCTACTAGTTAAATCTGAGCCAGTTAGAAAGTCATATCTGTCAAATAACATTTAACTAAAAGAATCTTTAGGGAGGGAGCAGCTCAGTCAATTGAGAGCTTTCCCACTGACAATATAAATAGCCCAGGCACAGAATTCAACAGCCCCACTTTGTGGTCAGGCTCCACAGCCTGAATGCCCAGATGCTGGAGGAATTTCTGTTTCATGGCTTTGGTTGGAATGGTTTTTTTATAACAGGAAAGTGGCTTTAAATTC